TGAAAGATTATCTGTGGAATATTACTGCCTCAGCATTTGCCTAAGTGATCCAAGGAAACCACAGAAAAACTTGCACCAAGGCAGACGGACCCGGAATCGAACCGGAGTCCTCCCGAATGCTAAGCAATGGTCTAGACCTCTAGGCCATGCCGTTGGAAAAATCTAACCCATTACAAATTCTGCCTTTATATATCGTTCTTTGCCCCCGCACTGTTAAGCCATTTTAACCTTTAACGACGATGTTGTCATTGAAGATATTGTCGCCCTAATTGCTTTTAATGTTAAATTTGCAGTACCTACTTTCGTTTGGAAATCACCCTAATGAGGTTCTTCGAATTTGAATGCAAGTGGTACTGCTTGGTATTTACTGCTAATGACATTCTCGGAAAGCATTTAGTAGATATAACATATTATTTTTCAAAATATTTTGATAATATTTATAAATTTAAAATATTAAATTTAACTAACCACTACACATCGGGTACTAGACTTTAATGCTAAATATAAAAATAAGAAACTTTACCAAAAGGTATCTACAAGGATGCCCTCGGAGTAAATGTTCTTTGTTCCTATGTCTGAATAAAATAATCCAAATATCTTGTACTATTTTTTTTTTCGCTGAAAGATCAATTTGTGTATTGAAGGAAGGGTCAATTAATGCGTTGGAGATAGGATAAGTCTCACAATTATCGACACTATTTTGTTTAAAAGTCATGATTTAAAAAGCAATTAGCTTTAGAAGATCGAAATGTAAATTATCAATTACTTACTGAGTAATACTGTAGCTTTCATAAAGTATTTTAATTAAAGGTGAAACGTCGGTGATTGTTTCTTCAATAAAAAATAGTACGTATTTTACCCTATTAAGCTTTAATTCTGCAATAAGTACAACTAAAAAAATCAGGGAGGAATAATGAAAATTAAAGGTACCTATTTATAATTAAATCTAAATGTATGCTCTATTATTTGAAATATGTAACAAAATCCTAAAGGTAGAATTTAAAGTTCCCATTTAAATATTCCTTTTAAAAAATATTGTAAACAAAGTTCCTTCTGGCATAAAAACATGTTGTTGTTGTCGTTTATCCGTATACATCTGGTTTGGATAGTGATAGGTCTCCATGCGATATTGTCAAACAGGCACAACTGATTTTGACCTTCAATTCCTTTCCTTTTCTACGAAAAATATGCCTTTCGTAATATAATAACACAAAGTAACAGCCCACCAGTTTTATAAAAGGCGAAAATTTTATTGTAAACAATTCTTATAGGTCAACTAGGAATAAAACGAAATATTTTTGTACTTAGCATTTTCAATAATGAATGCTGCATGACCGTACTTCTTTATTCAATTATTTATTGAATATCACGTTGAAAAATATTACTCATTAGAACAATTTAAAAAGAACATAATTTTTTATTAAAATACTAATGTAGACGTACAAATAGGAATAAGGGTATATTTATATTTTCGTATCATTGTTTTGGTAAAATCCCGTGCTGCTCTTTGCAACATGATGGATATTGCTTTGTTTACATCATCGCTTGTCTATTGGAGATAGTCGTGAGCAAATGCAGTAAGTACCAAGACAAGATCAATGTTGTCTTGGTTTTGATCTTGGTTATGCTTTTGCGGAATCAGTTCTAGTTTTTGCAAGACATATCTTCATGTTTTAGAAAAATTAAAATTTAACGTACCTATACCTATTTTGAGATTTCAAAACTATCCTCACCGTTTAGACTTCTTTGATTGTCATTATTTTCAATGAGAATATTGCAAATATAAACGAAAAATTGATTTTTCCTTTTGTTTTTGATTGACCAAAATATAAATTGTTAAGTTTGGAATGCCCTGTAGTCACAATAAGTTACATAAGTACTTTCAGCACATTTTAGAGATGATTAATGTAAATAAAATAAAAAATGGTAGAAATGAGGAGGTGTTAGAAACTTGATAAGAAATAGGTGAGATAGGTTGGTAGGACCGGTGATGCCGAATTCCCTCCCGCTTGTAGTTTTGATTAAAATATAGATAGTCGAATTCCCTCCCGCGTACTAGCCGAGTTCCCTCCCGTTCGTATCATGTTAACGATTACTTACTGATTTTATTTATCGAAAATAAATATATATTTATAGTGCACTTCAGTACTGCAGTAAATTAAAGATGAAATAATTTCACAAAGAAAACACATATCAGTTATGAAATGTTTATTTAATTAATTTTAAAATGGTTTCCCACTACCTTAACAAATTGAATGTTTGGAAATTCATGTGTGTCTAGCTTTTTGATGCGATCATCCAGAAAAACTTTATTAGTTTT